GCAGTGCTTCCAAAACTTTTACAATTGATGTATGCCTTGGTGTCAGTGTGAGAATTGATGTACCTCTTTTCAGCTGCAGAATGTTATCGTGCATTATAAATGTACAGCATGATGCAGATAACTTCTTTCATTCTAACTGTGAGCCAACTGTGTAGAAAATGTAGGAGCTGCAACATCTCACAACCCTATGGGCCTCCATGGCCTGTTACAGTGATAGCTCTACCTTTTACCTGTTTATTCGATGCACAGAAAAAAATGTACAAAATTAGTAATTAGGCCTTTTAGAACTCTGTTTGGCAGTGTGTGAAGTATATCACATGTACACCCTTATCATTCTTCACATAATTGTAATTCAGATCTGCTGATGTAAAGTGAGGAAAATAATTGCCATCATCAGCAATATAAAGATTTTGGTATGTTTCTCCTTTCAGTTAGAAATAAATGTTACAATAGAATTACTTACCTTGATGCTTAGATCTGTTAATCTGAAATAAGCCAATAGTTTTTATTTGAGGCGCACATGGCAGTGACTTCATCTGGGATGTTATGCCCTATGATGGGGTAACTGTTTGATAATGTGTTCGAAGAATGCACTAGCTCAATCTTCAGGAGTGGGAAGGAAGCTGAGTGACTCTCTGACACTGAAGATGGAGCCAGTCTCTGCTTTCTGTTTACTTGTGTTTGAACTTTCACCCTGAAGACAGAGGCAGTACACTACTCTAAAATGTTGGCAGACTTTTGCCAGATTACATGGCAGAATATCCGGGAAGATCTTAACTCTTGGTTGTGATTTTGACTTTAGCCATAACTTGTATTGCAGATTTTGAGACTTCAAAATGCATATGTATTCCCTATATATCCCAATGCCAGTCTGATCTGTTGAATTGAATTAAATTTATTGAATTGAATTTATTTACATTCTGTAAATCCTAAGTAGGTTAGTNGACCACCACCAAGGCTGAGTAAGAAACAGAAGCGACAGCTGGCAACACTGGAATGTTCTCTTAGTCCAGACATGCGTCATGTTACATCAACTGTAGCCCTGAAGCCATCAGGATTTGATCTCGAATCTAATATTACGTCAAGTCATAATCCATATGAGTTAACTGAGGAGTCGTACAGAGCTCTGCTGTTGAACCACAAGAGAAGACGGTTGGAGGCTGATGTATGTTTCACATTTTTGTCTACAAATTCTGTGATTCTGATTTTCTGGATACAGCATCTAATTTGTAAGGTAACCTACAAACACTGGAGGGTATGCAGTAGCATAGTTGCTTGAGGCATTATGCTACAAGCTTGAAGATATCAGGTTCGATTTCTGGGAGGTCATTGAATTTTTTCAACCGACATAATCCTTCCAGCCGTAATATGGCCCTGGGTTTGACTGAACCTCTAACAGAAATGAATACCAGGAAGATTCTTGGCAGGTAGAAGGTGGCGGGCACATAAGGCTAGCAACCTTACCACCATCTGTGAGCTGATTGTCTAGAAGATGTGGGAGCCTTGACCACTCACACCCCTATGGGCTTTCACTGCCTGTTACAGGAACAACATAAGAAGAGAGACTGTTTTATGTGGAAATCGTGTCTTCCAATGTCCATCTGCCTGTGACTTTGATATCAGTGCCTAAACTGTTGGACAGATTTCTTTTTTATTCAGCAATGTAGTCTTTTGCTAAACATTGTGCAGGTTCTGATTTACATTCATATTGATTAAAAATGAAATATGCTTTTCATAGGATCATAAGTGGACTTTTTCATGTATAATCATAACCATTAATCAGATATTGGTGAAAATCAGTACGGAAGATTTATGTGTAATGTTAGTCTGCCATTTTATTAGCCATAGTGACTAATTGAACTCGGGTAATGCTTGCTACTATTCAGTCCAGAACCTTTTGTCTTCTCGTTTGTTGTCCAGAAACATAAAAATTAGAATATACAAAACTATAATTTTGCCTGTGGTTCTGTATGGGTGGGAAACTTGGTCTCTGACATTAAGGGAGGAACATAGACTGAGGGTGTTTGAAAACAGGGTGTTGAGAATATTTTTAGACCAAAGAGAGATGAAGTGACAAGAGGTTGGAAAAACTGCATAATGAAGAACTTCATAACTTGTACTCTTCTCCAGATATAATTAGAGTGTTCAAGTCAAGGAGGATGAGGTGGGCAGGTCATGTAGCACGAAAGGGGGAGACGAGGAATGCATATAGGATATTAGTGGGAAAGCCAGAAGGAAAGAGACCACAGGGAAAACCAAGGCGTTGGTGGGTGGACAATATTAGAATGGATCTTAGAGAGATAGGATGAGATGGTATGGATTGGATATATCTGGCTCAGGATAGGGACCAGTGGAAGGCTCTTGTGAACATGGTAATGAACCTTTGGGTTCCATAAAATGCTGGGAAATTCTTGAGTAGCTGCACAATTGGTGGCTTCTCCAGAAGGGCTCAGCTCCATGAGTAAGTAAGTAAGTGACTGATTACGAAGCAGCTGTTACATGAGATCATAAATTCACTTTTTATACATTGTGTAAGCCATTGTTAAAGATTCTGGTATATTCACTATAACATTAGTTGAACATTTTGGTTTTTATCTGTATTGACCGATTAAAGAGTCTACATATGACCATGAATGGACTTTTGCATGTATTCCATAGACCATTTCACAGATGATGGATACAGTCTTCTGGGATATGGCACTGTGTAGATCTTGTGCGAACCGACGTTTAGGAGGAACGTATCACTGCAGCCACCTGCTCACACTGGTTCCTCACTTGCAAATTTTTCTACTCTGAAGATGGAGGTGATACATTCCTCCGAAACGTTGGTTCACATAAAATCTACATGGCGCCACATCCCAGAAGATGGCATTCTTCATAGTCACTGCCGTGAAAACCTCAAATGTTACATTTCACAGGTTTTGATGAAATGTGATACTGTGCATTATTATGCTATTGAGGTATGAATTTTGTTCGTTTTATCTAATATATTTTGTTTTGCTGAAATACCTTCTGCAGACTAATTGCAGTTGGACTTAATAAACTTAAAAGCATAATGTTAGAAATATTTTGCGCTGCATTATGGAGGACATTTTCTCAAATCTTGTTTGAATATAAAATGATCAGGAAAGAACATGGGATATGATTCCACATAGTCTGGTAGAAGTTCCGCCGGCATTTCAGAGGAATGTCCTGCCTTCTTCTTCACTTTCTGCTACACTGAGGATGGAGGCAATGTGTTCCTCAGAAATGTTGCTAAACTTCTACCAGACTAGACCATGTCACATCCCAGAAAACAGTATCATTCATAACCACTGCCATGGTAAACTCAAATCTCGCAGAAAGGAATATAGTTCATAATAGGATGTGTTCTTTTGAAGGATCACCCTGAGCTGAATATCCTGGGTATTACAACACAAGACATTGCTATGCGTGCCCAACTTGGAAAACGTTTGCCAGTGAACCGAACCAACCAGAATGCAGGAAATGAAACAAAAACACCAACAAAAAAGAGAAAGGTAGAAGTAGCCAGCAACAAAGGAACACCCACCACAGTAGCTGGTCACATCCCACAGATGAGACACAGCCTCGGCAGTCCGCAGGTAGGCTGCAGCATCCATTTTGTTGTTGTTACTTCAGATTCCAGATCATGTATAATATTGAAGAGAAGTGAATTAATTAAAAAAAAATTGTTGACTGTTTGTAGAATGATTTAGCATGGTATATTTCATTGCTTTTTGATTCTGGTGTTCAAATTGTGCATTTTGTGTTCTGATCGCATAATGCAGCTAGAGCATAAAGTGGTACGAGAGGGGACCCAAAAATAACCGGAAACGACCTGTTGCGCGCGCATGCTTTGTAGTTACAAGTTGTGCTGCTAGGTGGTGTTAGCTGGGGGTCTCCCGCGACTGTTAGTGAGCTGGCATCAGTCTGAGTTAAGTGGTTTGTCTGTGGTGCTCTGTTGTGTGCGTTCCTGTTTCAACCCTTTGGCGATTAGTGAGATGGCCGACCAGAAGGAACAAAGAGTGTGCGTGAAATTGATGAAGATCGTCGAAAGACCATTGACCAACTTTCTGAGGAAACGAACATCTCATGGAGCACGGTCCAGCGAATTTTAACCGAAGGTTTGCACATGAGACGGGTGTCTGCAAAATTTGTNGTTTGAGTTCAAATGGATCTGATCTTGGTGATTCTGAAGATGATGGAACATTGGATCACTCGTTGTTGGATGTCATGGAGCGCGTGGATGTGGAAGGAGAGGGTGAAAGCCCACTGGTTGCCAGAAAAGCAACACCTCCACCTCCCATCAGGACGCCGGTAGCTGCCAGTCGAAACAGACGCGTAAATAGTGCTGGGTGAGTCAGAAGGAGCAGACATTAAGTTACATATTGATAAGATAACAACTGGAGGATATTCAGTAATGTTTGTACCAACAGTTGTTACTACTAAACAGAATAATTAATACGGAGTCAATATTGTCACGTGTCCAGAGTTTCATGATGAATAATAGGTTCTGGTTTGCATGATTGGATTTATTGGCATTTCCTTACAGTTACAATCAATTATAACAGCTCACAATCCACGACTAAGATTCGCTCCATTCCTTACTGGACTACGAGTGTCTTCTCTTGCACTTGGTTCTGTTTTATGATTGGTCACTTCTTCAGCTTCCATTGTCTGCTGTTAACACTCCACAGCTGAACACTCAACTACTCTTACGAATGCCAAATGACAGCTCACTCACAAATGAACTAAACTCTTTTATAACTTCAAGGTGAATAAAAAATAAGGCATCATGTTATTCTATTTTTCTTTGTTTATCCATTGCCGCAGGAACATGCTTACTGCACCTTTGCCAGCAATGGACTATCCTTCATCTATTTGTTACCACAGGAACATGATTACCGAACCATTGCCTAGCAATGGTCATATTCATCACAGTGTAAAAAAATAGGCATACTGTCTTCTGGGATGTGATGCTACATAGTTTGATAGAAGCTTACTTATGTTTTGGAGAGTCAGGGTCAGAGAGTAAACCAGGCAAGCAGCAAACAGGAACTTTAGCATATCAGAACCTTGTACTCTTTATGGTTACTGCTGTGACAACTTCAGGGCTCACAGATTTTGTGTAAGTTACATATTTAATGAAGACTTCTCATCACAGGAAGTTTATTCATCAGCCATGAAGTGAAGCTTTACCTTGGGTACAGAAAACAATCCCATGGATCAGCCATCTCAGCATCTCATTTGGGCTGTTACACATTCCTTCCAGTCATTCAGCTCTTCTGTCCATGTGAATGATGATAGTGATAACTACTACCAACAAGCATTTTAGGTTGATTCACATAGGCCAGAGAAGGCTGGAGGGGAATCCCATAGACAGAAAGTTGGAAGCATCTAGTGTTACCATTCCCACCATTTATGGGGGTTCCCATGACTTCAGCATAGTGTCACTCCCATGTATAGACTTTTGGATGACTGCTGTTTTATAATCAACAAAGGGTTAACACCATGTCCAGTGGCATCAAATCTGTACTAGATTTTATGAAAATTTGTCCATTGTTTCAGAGGTAATAAGGGAGACAGGTGTAAACAGAGGTGAACAGATACGTAGATATAATGCATTATACAGGGTGATACACGAAGTTTTACCCCCACTTAGG